CAGCTGAATTTTTGTATTTTTAGTAGAGATGGGATTTCACCATGTTGACCAGGATGGTCTCGATCTCTTGACCTCGTGATCCACCCACCTCGGCCTCCCAAAGTGCTAGGATTACAGACGTGAGCAATATATTTTAATATGTAAGAAGACATTACTTTTCTATGTCCATTTCCAGGAATGGTAGCTACTCCTAATTCTTTTTTGATCCCCATGTAAGATGCCACATCGCCTCCTCGATGAAGCCTTACTCTACCCCCACCAGCACTGTGCCCTCCTCTGTGCTCCTACAGCAGCCCCAACAGAACCCACAGAGCACTTGACCCTTTACTTCCTTTCTCCTGTTTCCCTCTCACTAAGAGCCCTGGAGAGCAAAACCCATATCCTTTCCATTCAATCAATTCCACCCTACCTTGCCTCTGGGCCTTCACTCCTAATTATCCTGCAGAGCTTTGCTTCAAGCACCAGCCTCCTGTGTGAAGCCTTTCACAACACTTTCCCATGTTCCCCTACCATGGCTATAATCCCGCAGCCATGGGGCCCACTGGATTTACTATCATCTATTTGTTAAGAGTGTCTCCAGCAGTATACTGATAAATGTTTAATGACTGATTTTATGAAAGGAAAAAAGAAAACATTGCAAGTTTGTAGTGATTGCCAATTTCCACTGTGTAAATACTCCCACCATGACCAGTTTCAAGCTACCTACGTGAGGTCACACATTGATTTGGGTACAAATGCCCAGTAGCACAGCATTATACAGCATTTCCACCAGACTCTGCAATAGATATAGACCACTTCAAGAGCATAGATAAAAAGCAATGACAGTAAAATAATTAGGAATTGATACATTTTGAGTGTTTGTTACCTTTGTTTGAAATATATTTTAATTACAGGTTTATAGAATTTTATTTTTAATAAAAGTGTGTTTAACAACTGCCTTGCAAAAATTTCTAAACATCTATCAGCTCTCACGAGTCAGTAGCAATGGGCTCCAGCACATCTCTCTTTGCCTCTCTGACTAGACTGTGAACTTGAGAACTGGGCCTGGGACTGTGCTGCTCATCCCACCTCCAACACCTAACACGGAGGAGGCACTGAGTAATGTTCATTGGAAGCAGCCAGCCATATCCATCCTTTTCTCCTCACTTTAAAAGGAGTTAGGAGAGAGTTCAGCGTGCTGTTTAACCACAAAGGCTACTTGGTAAATGCTCTAGAGGAAGCCATACCAACCTCAGCTAAGAATGAGGTCAGACCTCCGTCATATATAGTACTTTATTTCCAACTTCCTGCATGTTAAGCTCATATGCCACTCTCCATTGAGAAAGCAAACAAGGCTCTGCTAAATGTTTTATCCTTTCCTTGAGGGGTCACCACCAGCTTTCTTCCCAAAGTAGCAAGCCAAGAGAGCACAGATCTGATATTAATGCCAAATTCACACCAAATCCCACGTGGCAAAAGAGAACTCTTGCCTTTCTAAGCCTCAGACACTGATCCAATTATTTCAAGATCCATTGGCGTTCACCGAATTCCAACCCAACAGAAGAATTTAGACATTTCTCTGAGGTTTCTTAGAATGGTTTTGATTACCCTAGAGCACCACCAGGCCAGCCACCAGCAGGACAGAATGACAGGGATAGTCACAGTGTGTTAGAGGTCAAATCCTACCTCTTAACTACTGGTGGAACTCTCTAGACAGGAACTTTTCATAATCATAGCAATGATTAACATGCCACAAGTGCTATCTACCTCTGTGCCAAGCACCATGTGAGATGAACCTCATAGACTAATTAATGAGGCCTCGAATAAAGTCCTCAAGCCCTGGCACCCTCATTTAAATTGTGAGTTTTCTGGGGCTCTTGCCAATTCAGTAAGACAAGACTGTAGCTGAGATAAAAAGGCTCCACTTCATTAAGCACCAAAATAAAGCCACAGCTCTCTAAGAAATCATAGTTGTGGGGAAGAGTCTCCTCTCAGTGACCATTTTTCCTTTTTGCCAATATGATGCCATACAAACCGGCAGGAGATGTGCCTTCCTCAATGAGCATGCCCAAGGCACCTTGAATCTCTCCATGGAGAAGCATGACAGGAAGCAAGTCCATGGGCTCAGCTTTGCCCTTGTCTGACATCCGTTCAGAGAGTTAAAATTCGTTGGCTTTTCAGGGCAGTGGGTGACATTACTCATGGTCCTTTGCAGATCTTCAATAAGTTGACATTTAAAATCATTTGAATAAATCAAAGTGACAGAGGCACCTTAAGTTGCTGAGTTGGGGAGATGATTATAGAGAGTGAAAGACACATTTTCATTTTATTGCTGATGAGCAAAATAAGTAAATTTTGAAAAGGAAGTGGGATGCTTTGTGGGAGGAATCTTCTCAGAGAGGACTGCAGTGGTACCTCTCTCTTGCCAGTGATAAACTGGTGCAGAAACGTTTCCAAACTATTCATCATATGTACCCTAAAAACCCAGTATGTAGAATCCACACTATCCCTGAAAACAAGAGATCCCTGACTTGGTAAATCTTAACCCTGGAATATAAGCTGTCAGTGCCACTTGGAGAAGTGAACCCAGTTTCCCGTAAGTGAAACTTGAGCCTTGGTCCCTCATAGCTATTGACTCTTATCTTCTTCTACAAAAGACCACTGGTGAAAACACAAGCTTAGTTGCTCTTCTTTTGTGCACAGAAATAGCCTAACTCTGCTTTCAAGCTGCTTTGTTCAAAATGTGCTAATGATTTGTTGAGTGAATGAAAAAAGCAAACAAGCAAACAAACAAACAAAATTTTATTTTTTTTCTTATTTCTGTAGAAAACTGGCAAACAAACAAAAAACACTTTAAATCAGACTGCAATTTAGGTCAAAATTTAGAAAATATATTTGCAGAGCATAATTCAGGAAGGAAGGAAGATCTTTTTCATTCTAATCTACTGCTAATTATAAAATAGGTGATAGCAAGCATGTGAGGAGATAAAAAGGAGGGGGTGGGGGCGGTGCTATTTCATAATTTAGTCACCCTCGATTGGAAAGTGGGCGTTTTAAGATTTGGCACCAAACCCCAGCGAGTCACTCTGTAGCATGAGTTTCTCTCACTTTGGACTTTCAGTTTGGACACAGAAAGAACAGGGCAAAACGTAAAGCCAGTAGGGATGATGTTTTAAAGGACAAGCTGCAAATAAGGATGGGTTTCAGGCTCCTTTGCAAATAGAAGTGGAATAATGAGAATAAGCTCTCTAAGGCCTGAGGAGAAGGAAACACATGGAGGTGGTCAGCGCCATGCCCAAAAAAATGCCCTTGAAGAAGACTTTCAGATACTGGGCATAAGGAGAAGATGGCGGGAGCACTAAACCATTCTAAGACCAAGTTATAACATTGACAATATTGACTCCCTAGAACCAAGTCAGGGGAAGTGTGTTGGGAGTCTAAGAAGCACAGTCATGTGTTGCTTAATGATGAGGGTATCTTCTGAAAAATGTGTCGTTAGGTGATTTCGTTGTGTGAACATCACAGAGTGCACTTACATAAACCTAGATGGGATAGCCTACTACACACCTAGGCTATATGGTATGGCCTATTGCTCCCAGGCCACAAACCTGAACAGCATGCTACTATACTGGATACTGTAGGTAATGGGAACACAATGGTAAATATTTGTGTATCGAACTTATCTAAACATAGAAAAGGAACAGTAAAAATACAGTATAAAAGATAAAAAATTATACATCTGTGTAAAAGTGCTTACCATGAATGGAGGTTGCAAGACTAGAAGTTGCTCTGGGTGAGTCAGTGAGTGGGTGGTGAGTAAATGTGAAGGTCTAGAACATCACTATATGCTACAGTAGACTTTACAGACACTGTACTCTAAGGCTATACTAAATTTATAAGAAATATTGTTTTCTTGCCCAGATGTGGTCGCTCACGCCTGTAATCCCAACACTTTGGAAAGCTGAGGTGGATGGATTGCTTGAGTTTAGGAGTTTCAGACCAGCCTGGAAAACATGGCAATACACGGTCTGTACAAAAAGTTAAAAAATTAACTGTGTGTGGAGGCACACACCTGTAGTCCCAGCTACTTGGGAGGCTGAGGTGGGAGGACCACTTGAGCCAGGGGGTCAAGGCTGCCGTGAGCTGTGATTGCACCA